TCAGAACGTATTCCAATAAGACAGACGTAGGACCCAAGTGACAGCATTTCGCTAATTCTACAAGAAGCTTGAAGCGCGCGCGAGGCCCAACCTAGCACTGACACAAGATCCACACCGACTCGCTATGACACCGACTAGGTCGTAAATAACGAATACCTCTGTCACGTCTCTATCACTGAGAAAAAAGTGTTCGAGAAACTATCTAGACTACTTCCAGGCAAGTCCCCTGGCTGCGATAACCTAAAACCAGTGGTTCCGAAAAACTGCGCCGAGGTGCTTACTAAGCCACTTCGCAACCTCTTTGAGCACCCAATGGACACGTGCGCCACCTTGTCACCCATCTTCAAAGGAGCAGACAGAAGACACCCATGCAACTGCAGGTCAATTGCTCTACTCCCTATTGTGTCGAGGGTGTTAGAAAGCCTGGTAGCTGACACTATCTGTGAATTCCTCAATAAGGAAAACTGTCCATACTGATCAGCATGGCTTTCTGAGTGGCTGCTCATGTGCCACCAACTTACAAACCGCCTGGGATGACTGGGCACGAAGCTGGGATGAGAGAAAACCGGTACATGTTGTATTTCTCGACCTAGCCAAAGCATTTGACAGTGTCCCACCCACAGCACCGCTTCACGAGATCATGTCAGCTGGTATAAGTGAACCCCCACTCTCTTGGTTCAAGGAGTACCTGGAAGGGAGGCAGTTCTGCACCAAAGTAAGCGGAATAAGGTCGGAGTGGAGACCCTCGACGTCAGGAGTATCCCAAGGAGCAATCCTAAGATCGCTTCTGTTCCTCCTGTTTGTCAATGATCTGCCAGATAAAATATCCTCACCCATCCTCCTCTTCGTTGGCGACATAAAAATTTGGAGGGTGGTAAACGAAGAAGCTGATTGTGCAGCAATACAAAAGGACTTGCAGCAACTCGAGCTCTGGTCGTTGGAGAATGGCCTGAGCTTCAACCTGGAAAAGTGCAAAGTAATGCACACCAGTAAAAATGAAGCAAGTACGGCCAACTTCCAGTACATGTTGAGCAACCGTGCTATCACCAGAGTGTCCATGGAGAAAGATTTGGGGCTCAACTTCTCCGACACCTTGGACACCAGCTCCAACTACAAAGGTATGACAACCAGAGCGAACACCATTCTACACTTTCTGCGTAGACAGCTTGGCGCCCTCACTCCCCAACTCTTCCTCACCATTTTCAAATCCTACGTGCGGCCGCATCCAGACGTCTTCAGTACTGTGGCCCCTCCAACACTCAAGAGAGACTCTAATCTCCTTGAAAGAATACAAAGAACTGCAACAAAATCAGTTGTGGGGCTAAAGGGAAAGACGTGTCCTGAAAGACTTAAACACCTAAACCTACTTACCTTGGGTTATCGCAGGAAAAGGGGTGACCTTATTATGGCATACAAGATCGCCCATCAGGCAGACCATGCAAACAAATCAATTTTGCCTGCAACTCAACCATCTTCACGAGGAAACTCCATTAAGATAGTGCACCAGAGAGCCAACACCATACTCAGGTCCAAATTTTTCTCCCCAAGAGTATGTCCTCTATGGAATGCCTTACCGCGACACATCGTTATGGCCCACTCAGTTGACTCATTCAAGAGACGATTAGACAGTTATGTCACATCGCATGGACTACCACGGACGTACTCAGGTAGTCATCAACCTCATTAGCCCCCAACTCCCTCCCAGCTACCACTCACTATCTCCCTCCCTAATACACCCACACTGCCTACTAATTCTTCTGTGAGAATCGAACCCATGCGACCATTCGTGCAACTCTCAAACACTTTTCTTTCGTTCTCATTTCTCTTTTCACCCCTCCCTTTCTTCTTCCCCTTTCTCTTCCATTATTATTTTCTTCTTTCTTCTCTTTTTTATTCTCGCTTCATTCTGTTACCACTACCTTACTATTCTCTTTCAGGTACCTACACAGACAGTAGTCACGGAAGTTCCCTGAACTTCCCAGCAACCCGTAGCTCCCCAATCACTCTACAAATTACAACTTGCTAACCGACAAAACATCCACCTCACGGAAGCTGAAAGCAAGAAAGTATAAGGGATTTCCTCGTCCACTGAAGGAGTGAACCGAACACCTCGAACCAAGTTCTAAGAACTAGACGCGAGAGATCAAATCTTTGGGATTCGCTTTGCTGCGAACTTGACAGACGCAAGGACCAATCACTATTTATTCGGACTTGTTATATACCAACGAATTCGAGACCAAGGAGGAACACGATAGCGTAGTCGGATGGAATAGTATATTTGGATGGTTGTGCCAAAATACCGATGCGTTCCAACTAACTGGCTGGAGAGTCGAATACGAGCAGTGCAACGTAACACGACAGCGTGCCAAATGGCGAGGATGCTTGACCGGGTGCCTTCAGCTTAGCGAGTCCAGTTAAACTATCAAGGTCAGCATCAATGCCGAAAGTCGTCAAACCCTAGGCTATTGATTTTGGGGAAGTGTGTGACGCTACAAATCACTCCCCCCTAGTGTGTCCCTGAGGACCCTAAGACGATACCAGCCAGAAGTAAAAACCCAGTGGTTTCTCCACTGGTAAAACTCTACCGATGGGCTTACTGCGTGAAGTGGCCCCTGGTTGTCTGAATTTATTCTAGGGTGTAGTGGCAGGTTAATAAATGGAATACAATAAATCGAATTGGACGTCGACTGCAGTCCTCAGTTCCTTTTGGCGTTCCGTCCAGTGCTCGTTACACCTGGAATATAAATAGAAGTCTTTAATACCACGAAAACGTTGCGTAAAAATGGGAATTATTCATACATAAACATATCGAAAGATAAAAATTTACGCTTATTTTCACCTTTTTTTAAAGTTTCATTACATGGTAATAAAAACTGATATAAAAGAGGCAAAGTGTATGAGGGTTTGTATTGAGGTACCGGGTAGCAGTCCTGAGTTGTTTTGGCGTTAAGCCTTCGGTTATCACCGGTCGGACGCCAGTCGTTGCTATCCTTTTTGGGCACCATGTGCAATGGCGATGCCCAAGGACTGTCTGACGGTCTGATAATGCCCAGTTCGAGCATGTGGTCGAATTCATTTTTCGCCGTTTGGAGCTTATCGGGGGCTGGACGGCGCGCTTTGGATGCCACAGGTGGACCTGTGGTTGTCACGTGATGCATGACATTGCTGGTTATGCACGGAAGGGTGTGCTTCGGCTGTCACAACTCTGGATATTTCTCCGAAACTGCCTGGTAGGACGCGTCGCCTGATTGTTTGGCTCTAACGATGGCTAAACTCGGACCTACATAGGTGGTGCCGCCAATAGATAACTTTGTGTTGTTATCTAACAGTCGTCGACGGCGAGTATCTACGAGTAGATCGTAATGGTTTAGCAAATCTATGCCAATGATAGGCATGGAGACGTCAGCAAGGGGAAAGATCCAGTGGGTAGGTTTACGTAAACCTAAGTTGAGGTAGGCATACTGTCTCCCGGATGTCACGATTGCCTTACCGTTGGCTGCTTGAAGATTGAAGGATGGGTCATGATGACGCTCCTTTGTCGGTGCGGGAAGAACGCTAACTTCTGCGCCGGTGTCGACGAGGTAGCGGACTTTCGTTTTTATGTCGGCGACGTAGAGCAAACGGCTGTTTCCGCCGGCTACGGTTGCCGTGGACACGTGCCGGCGTGACCGTTTCCCGAGTTTGTGTCCTTGTTAAAACTGCACGGTTTACGACATTTTCTGGCTTCATCCCCGTAAGTGTTATGAAACCAGCACCATTCAGGGTTTTCCACCCTGTCAGGTTTAGTTTTAGGGCTACCACGAGAGTTGCTGGGATGCGCCAAGCTGCGTTTCTGTGAAGTGCTACGTGATATAGGACTTCGAGATCGTAGCAACCGTTTCACAGAGTTGCACTGCTTCGTCACCTCTGAATCTTGATGCTCTGGTTTGTCGCAGACAGAATATACGTTGGAGACGGGTCTGCTGGATATCTCCAGTATTTTATCTGCCGAGGCTGTCAGGTCATCCAGTGAGACCGACTGCAGTGTCACCAACACGGTTTGCACCGGTTGTGATAGTTTTGAGAGGAATAGTTCTCGGAAAAGGCCATCGTCGAATATTCGTGCACCCGTAACTTCTCGCATGCGTGCGAGGACTTCAGTAGCTGAGTTGCCGCCTAGCTCGATGTTACGAAGTAATTCGTCTAGATGCTGGCGATCTGTGAGATCGCTTTTCTTCAAGAGTGCGGCCTTAAGAAGTGCATAAGGATCACTTACTTCAGGATTAAACATGTGTGCTGTAACATACCTGTTTAATTCTCGAGGTAGCGACCGTATGACGGCGAGAAGTCGAGAATGAGGATCTGAGACGCCCAGTCCTCGAAAATCGGCCTCAGCATACAGAAATCATGTTTACGCATTGTCTGGCCAATATGGCACGAGTTGCATCGTGTTCGTAGTCGGCTTAATACGAATAAGCTTGGGAGTGTGGTCGGACATGGGAAAGTGTAGTAAATGGATATATAAATGTTATCGAAATGAAAACAGTATACCAGTATAAAATGGAACAGGCTCACCAATTCAATGTTTGTTATTGGTCGGGATATGTGATCACGTCGGGCTGACCAATTTAGGATTTGTCCTGCTGCGAACTGGACAGACGCAAGGACCAATCACTATTTATTCGGACTTGTTATATACCAACGAATTCGAGACCAAGGAAGAACACGATAGCGTAGTCGGATGGAATAGTATATTTGGATGGTTGTGCCAAAATACCGATGCGTTCCAACTAACTGGCTGGAGAGTCGAATACGAGCAGTGCAACGTAACACGACAGCGTGCCAAATGGCGAGGATGCTTGACCGGGTGCCTTCAGCTTAGCGAGTCCAGTTAAACTATCAAGGTCAGCATCAATGCCGAAAGTCGTCAAACCCTAGGCTATTGATTTTGGGGAAGTGTGTGACGCTACGAATCTATCAGTTTTCTTCGCTCTCTCAATATTGGATATTGGAATATTGGATTTCAATCGCGCAAAATTAGATATTGGAGGTCAGGATTTCGTGAGACGATTGCCAATTGTCATAACGCAGTGGTTAGTGAGGGTAAAAAGTGAATACTATGCTTCACACTAAATTTCCATATAACTTAGCAAAAAGGTTCCTGCTTGTGTGGATGTTTTTTCTGTGCAGTCCAGTTTTTTAGTGTAGAAACATATATGCTCTTCTTGAGAACTCTAAAGTTTTGCTGATTAAAATGTGTCAGATGAAACAGAGCTGTCTCAGTTCATCGATTTTTTAGTCAGTTAGTGCCTATTTGCGCCGTTAGCACATGTTTCTTTCTTTTCTCATGCTTATGCGAGAAAGTAATCAGGGACATATCTTGTATATTTCTTCGCTCATCAGTGCGAAGACCTTGCTGTTACGCTTAATGAAACTACAGCATATTCAGGTTTGTAAAGAGTGCACTCTAAACTAAGGAAGTTAGCTGCAAGTAGTAGACAGGAGAATTTAATTTTTATTAGTTTTCTGTGTCCAGATGGTCTACTTTCCAGACATTATCTTCAAGGTGCTACCAAGTTGAACAATAGACCTTACAGCAAGCAGTCTGTCTTGTTTCGCATCAGGCTTTGTTACCTTGTCTGTCCATGTTTTTACAACTACCCAGTGAAGTAGGCATTACACTCAATTATGTTTCTGTTGAAGGAAATAGGTAGAAATGGCAATAATTTACAGGTATCAGTCAGACAGACAAAATCATTGAATAACATTGCACGGAAGTGCACTGGCCCAAGTTCTCAATCAACGCTGGCGAGGAAACACGGGGCAAACTTAAAAGAAAATGGGTGGTAAATGGAAAAGATGTGAGGCAAGGTAAAAACGGACGCGGGACAATTGCCATACTTCATGGTCGCATACAAAGAACAAGTTGACAGGAAAAGATTGGTATTAAAGTAGAAAAAGGTGTATGGAAGGAGGGACAATCTACAAGTGAAGGTTAGTGGAAATGTTCAAGCTTTGGAAGATATCAAAGAGTGAATACCGATTTTCAGCCATTTCACTGATGGTCTCCAACCATTGACTCCGTTATGGACAAGAGGGAGTATAAGGATCACTGGCCACTTTGGGGTCATTCTTCCTTTACAGATGACCAGATACACCTGGTTGCAAAAGCCTGAGACAAGCTGTTGTGAAAAAGCCTGGAACCTTTGTCTGTTTTGAGTTACATTTAGTACCACTCGTTTTCATAAAAATATCTCTTTAATTATACACCTATGCTGAAATGTTTGCAGAGGTTTTGGATGATACAGAGTAGTTGACAATGATATGTCACTAAATTTCTTCACATATTACTGTCTCGTCTTTGCGTTTAATAAACTTGACTGGAAATCAGAGAAAACTACGTTACACAGCAGTTCATTCTGTCCAACTTTGTGTTTCTAAGACATTGCTATCTAAGCCTGAGAGGAGTTATTCTACGTGTTTTTGATCATGGGTGTCTTCATAATATCTCCCGTCGTAAGAAACCTAATGCTCAGGTGTAGAGCATCAGATAAGGTTAAGGTAGGGCTCATTTTCTTGAGAAATTTTTTCCCAAGTAATGGGTCCCATTCCATCTATTTTAACCTGCTAATGGGATATTGTCATGGGTCTTTATTCAGTATGTGAAGTTCGTAGCTTAGTAAGTAAACCTTTACCGGGTTCAGTTCTATTACTTATTCACTTTTTTATATGAAGGTTAGACAGTCGATAAGGTTTTAAACCTGCATCGATTAAGGTGGCTAAGGTATTTATTTCATAAGCAGGATCACCACCTGTCCTGATGCCCAATGTTAGCTGAAGTTGGATCTGGTTAGAAGGAACCCCAGTGTCCAAATCCCTATATAACATCAGTCTATGAATTCTGTTTGTTGATGTGAGCCATATAAACTGTCTAGTTGAGGTTGTTGAGTGCTCATAGTCATATGGCTTGATGTTTTCACAATGACCCTGTTGTATCGACTCTGTATTCTTCAAGTTTCCAAGCTTTTCTACTGACTCTTTCACTTGTTCTCTTCCCTCACTCTTTTTTCTTCCACACTACTTTCTATCTGTTTCGTCTTTTTGAGTTGTTAAAAACAGTGGCAACACTGTTGCATAAGGTCCTACATAGATTTTCTAAGGCTTCTATGAAATGTCTCAATTCTCTTTCCAGTCATTGGTCGAGAAGCTTACCTTTCTTTCATTGACTACTGCTCTCTTCAATCTGATCGTAACTTACTTAAAGTTATGCTATTAAGTATCTTATGTCTCACGACTGGTAAGAATGAGGGTTAAACATATGTGGGGAATAATATTTATAACAAGATCTATTTGTCTATTAGAAGTTCTATGGCTTGTTTTTAAAATTAAGTAACTTCATTGTGTGTGTGTACTCCTTACAAAGATACTTATAATGAAGAGGAGATTGTCTCGTTTTATTTTACGGCTGTACGTCGAATTTCTACTCAAGCACAGCTACCTGTATCTTCCATTAGTCTTCTTCATTGTAATATATGTAGTTTGTTACTTATTAGCTACAATTTTATTCGTATTTGATTATTTTTTCTCACTTAGGACTAAACTTACACTTGTTCTAATCTCTGAGTTTAAATTGTCTTAATATATTATCACCTTCAGTTAAAACGAGTTGAAAGTTAACCTGCTTGCTATGGTATCGGGATCGTTGATTAATTTCACATATGCAGTCAACAAAACTGGAGGTAAGATATGACAAAAATGTTCATGTGTTGTAGGATCTGTTGATGCACTGTTTGAATTGATAGAGAAGTCTGAAGACTTTCTAATACGTAATGTTCACTCACTGGACTCCATCGTGAATGACTTTGACATTGAAAAATTTGGGATCTTACATGCAGCTGTATTGTGAGTTGACAGTTACCTTTTGCTTACACTAGACACACCAAATATATTTCACAGCCGTTTGTTGATAAGGAATGGCTGGTAATTCAGACTCAGAATTTCTTTAATCTGTGTACTACAGAGTCCATGCACAAGGTCCCATCACACGGTAGGTTGTTTTTGCTGATTATTGTACAGTTCGTATAATTTCGCATGAATTTACCAACTGTTTGATTAATATGGGAGTCCCACAAAAAGGGATCAGCTGCATAATTACTGCTATCCAAAAATTACAGAAATCTCCAGAATACCTAACTCCGCTCCATTGTGATCTTTGTCAGGTAACAGGATACATACTTCTATAATGTGCAGCTTGCATTGGCTGCCAAAATGTTTAGTCCTATACTTCCAATTTTAGACACTGATATATTAGAAATGGAAAATACTGTACGTTTCTCAGATTGATGAAATTACATGTTCATTTAGGATAAAGCTCTTGAAGCAAATGATTATCTACTATATTTCTACTATGGCGGAATGATTTATGGTGCAATTAAAAACTGGGAGAGAAGCCTACACTTTTTTGAGTTGGTAAGGTGTTCTTCTAACCAAGTTTTATAGTTTTAGTGTTTGGTTATTCCTTCCTTGTCACCAAGCTGCATTTTGGTTGAAGCTGCTAAGAAAATCATATTGGTGTCCCTCATTTCAAATGGAAAGGTGCGTCTCCGTATTTAATTCTTCATTTATTTACTTAGCTGACCTTTTGGTCAGAGTTTGAGGCGTTCATTTCCTATTAGGGAAAGTCAGACATTGCTATGCATTTTGCAGGTTGTAACAAACGTAGGATTGTTTTATTTACTAATTATGTGGTTAGGCTATAATTGTGTATGGTAGTTATAATTCTTTTTAGCAGTATTCACTTTCATTGAATAGCCGAAAGTGATCTTAGTCCCCACTATTGGTAGTTATCATCCAGGATTGTGTATTTTTCTTGATGAATTCAATATACAGGTGTCCTGACGGAATTAGTGAATGGTTTAAACAAAACCAGCAATATCACTAGTTGGTTTTACATATTTCATTAGAAGTCATATTTGTGAAGCACCTGAAATTCATTTTGAATCTGATTTGATGAGACATTATATTTTCTATCCTCAGCTCAAGTATCATAATGCTAAATCTATTATGTATAAGCCTTTCTTTGGTACATGTGACTACAGAGTAAAAAACTTCAATTCAGAATCCACTCTCGTTGTTAGTACTGATGTACGTCATAAGAAGTCAATCACTGGACAAGAGGTATAACCACCATGGTGCTCTGAAGGGTTTTGATTTCAATAAGGAATGCAAACTGTAATTCACGAAGGATCACAACTATGCGGTTCTTAAAAGGTGCTCAGGGTTTGAGGCTTAATGAATTGAATAAAATGTTAGTCGGTTGAAGCTTCTTTATTTCTACACTTGATCAGAAACTGCTATTCGGTTAGTCATTAGTAAAACAGCAGTAGTTAGTTCCTAAGCTTCACCTTCATTTTGAACCAATGTTTAGCCACTAGTTAATAAGCTCGAAAAATGTTTTCCAAGCAATGAGATGTGTAATGCTGTAAATGCTCGGTCGACTTGTCTAAAAAATCCCACTTTTGTTTAACTTGAAGTACAAAGTTATGATGTACAATTAAACTTCACTTTTCACCAAAATGTCTACAGAGAATGAAGTAACCGAGTGTGTGAATTTCATTTACTCGGGCGTGTTCATTGGTTTTTCTGTGTTGTATGATGCAATATGGCTCGACACTATTCGAGATGAAATTTCACGAAGTTCTAATGAGAAGTCGTAACCGGTGGCGCAAAGCAAATCAAACGCAAGTACAAATACGCAACGGTGGTGTTGGATGGTCACGCTATACTGCGAACTGATAGATGTGGGGAAATGTGAATAACCAGACGCCGACCCAGTGACTCAACAAACACGTTCACGCCACGAAACCCGAAGGTCCTGGGTTGTTTCTAGTGGGGTCATGGATGCCCACATCCAAGGAGTCCCATACTAGGATGAAACAGCTATCCACTGCTCCCAAGTTTTCATTGGTTTTCCGATGTCAGTTCGTGATGAATAATTCCACATCAATAAGGGGTTCGAATATACTCAGTGGTAGTATGGCTCTTTCAAGTGTTAAACACATGGATAGTAAGAACGGAAAATGTTAGCCTTTCACCTCAGTCTTACTGATACATGATTAAAAAATCCGTTCACCCATATTAGTCACATTCAGGATTGCAAGTGAAGAAAAGTCGGTGGTCATTGTAGGTACAATCGTAGTGTTTTGCAACACCACTCCACCTCCTATTCGTATAAATGTTATAAATTTTAGTTTACTTCTTTCCCAATATTTTTATCATTTTTAGTTCAATATGGTTCCTGATACACCAGTTTCATATTTCATGTCCCCACGACCCTGGAAAGTAAGTTTTCACCTCTGTTTTTCTCTTTTTCATCAATTTGTTCATCTTGCTGAAAATTATCATATGGATCTGTTCAACGTTTTACTCTTTGCAGAAAAGTGTGCAGTGTTGCATTTTAGTAATAGAAAGCAATAAGTTTCTGGTCTACCAATACGTATCTTAGGGTTCAGAATATCTTACGCTTGCACTAAATCTTAATAATTAATTTCAGTTTGTAACCTGACCGTTTTTAAACGTGCCATAATGTTAGTATTTAATTTCTGTCACGAAAAATTAACAATTCATGTTAATTAGATCGATACTGATGACAGAAATATGTTCAAGTAGGTGTTGGCTTTTAGTCATTGAAATCGTGTAACTTGAGACATCATTAAACATAGCTCAAACCCGAAGTCAATTAGTCCTTTGCTCTGCTGAGTTAATGCTACAAAAACTGATATTGCGATATGGTTTTTCAAAATACAGAAATTCCCATTTAGACATTTAGTAAAAGTAAACAATGTGAGCGAAGAAATATTTCTTTTCTTAAAAGAGAAGAAATATTTCTTCGCTCATATTGGTTGCTTTTCAATACACATCGGGAAAGAGTGAAGCATTTAGAGGTCTTAAGGTTATTTAGGCTTCAAATGTACTATAAGAATGCAACCTTGGGCTAAGCAGCATGAGATTGTTGAGGTATAATTAAACGCATACTGCAGAATGCTAAAAAAAATATACCCCGGTTCAATCATATCTTCCCTAAAAGTAAATTACTGAAGGGGATTATAATGAATGTTTTCCGTTACGGGCTACCTGTAGTCATATCTTGTATATTTAAGCGTTTTCATAACTCTCAGACATTCGAATTTTCATACACTCAGAAAGGTGAAATCAACTCAACAGAAGGCATCATAAGAAAATATTGAATGATTTACAGATTATATATCTTAGAGACTAAGTTTTTGTTTGGCAGAGAATTAAGCACAATTCGGAAAGAAGAATAACTTGATAAAGAGTCAGTCAAGTAATTTTTTAAACTTCTGTCATCGTGTAACTTGTTTTACCTCATTTCATTGGAATTATAATTATCAGTATCAGTATCTTTAAGACTGTGAGCATACTGCTATTAATGCGTTTTAAAAGTTACTTTAGCTTCCCGAAATGTATAGTTTTAATTCTGACTACATATTTTCATTTCAGTCTCACTGTCAACCATATTTGGAGTTAGCTACAGCATTTCGATCTCATAATCCTGAAGACTTGACCAACATTGTTGACCTTCATCGAGAGTTATTTATGGCAGTAAGTTCTGTTAGACCTATCAGTGTAATACCAGTCAATCGCCTACAAGTACTGTAAATATTTCGCAGTATTAAAAGACTTCTAAAGGAATAATTTTAAAAGTAACATAAGTAACTAGCATATCATCTTAGTTGAACTCATTATCACATTGTGTCTTTCGAAATTACGTTGTTGGTTGAATTTTTTGATAGTTTGTTTATCGGATGGATGTGAAGTGTGTTCCTTGTTTTGCACTTTTGTGCTCATAATCGTACTAAAAGTCACTTCACTTATTCCGGACAATTATATCAATCTCTGGGAATATTTTTCAGTATGAGACACTGAAAGTCATGAATTGTGGGAGTACAACCTTCAACATATATTTATTCGGCTTTTCTAGTTTATATATTGAAGTTACTTTTCTGCTCAAACACTGAATCGGAATCTCTTGGTTCATGTAACTTTTACTTTAGTTCAATGGTCATTATCTGCTTCCACATCAAATAGCTATCTACTTTTTCAACTTTTACCTGATTAAAGTCAGTCATTCGGAGACCATCTTTTAGTTGATGCATTTTTCACAAATAGTTTGTTTGAATATTCTTTGTTGCTGAACGAAAATACCCCTTTCATAAGACTAAATTACAAAATTATCTGATTGCAATTTTTCGAAAGATCCTATTGAATTTACCGTATTATTGACACAAAGTTGGGATGAAGATCTTAGTTTCAAGCAAGATTCTCCACTAAACCAACAATCCTGATAAATGTGACGAAACATTTTTCATTTCTTCAATCAATGACAATAAAACCAGACCTATTAAAAACAGTAGTTACTCTTTACTAAAACTTCCTTTGTTTAATTTATACTGTAAAATTAGGAAAAATTACGAACATGTTAACTCGAAGTTTCACAGATAGATAAAGATGACGAGTTTATTGTTTCCGAGCATTATTTAAGCCTAGAAAAAGTATGAAGCCTGAAATTTTGAGCATTATCAGTCAAGCCGGTCACCTTTTTTTCATTACAGGAAATCTTTTGTAAACTGGAATGATCAATTATCCACACCAGTCTGGTTTAACTACTAGCTAGTACCTATTTATCCTAACGTATATATCCTGACTTAAATCCTGAAGAATTTTTGAAGCAAACAGTTAGATCCTGCTGTTTTGCCTCGTTCATTTTTAAAACAACTTTTTTTTTACCTCGTTAAGATCTGGTGGACTGACATCTACGTCTCCTCTAAATTAAGGTCGAACGGCGTGCGACTGGGTCGGAGCTGTTCCGCAGTGCGTTCACCCAAATTTCCAGTCATCTGCTCTGAGAAGTTATCAGGTATGCATCCTTATCAGCGATGGTTTCACCGGTCATCGTCCTTTTCCAGCCAGTCACTCTCAGGTATTACGAAATACTGATCTCTTGGCCGATAGCCGCTACCTTGATATAGTGGTCATGTTTGCATATCACAGTGACCCAGTGAGCCACACCCACCGTAACTTTGTTCCTGGACGTCCTACCATCCTGCAAAGGTCTGTTGGATAGCAGTAAGACGAAAAGCAGTCACCGTTGTAGTGTAAATTGCTACACTATAATAAAATCGATCAATATCAACATAGGACTAGGCATTACTGCGTAACGGTCCAAGTTGCCACAGCTCATATCAGTACATCAAGTAGAAAGGTAGTGAGGTGAAAGATAAGAGAATACAGTCAAAAGAAATATTAAGTACAAGAAGAAAGAAAAGAGGAATGACAAAGTGGTGAGAATCGGTATAGCGTCGTTGAGATGAAGATAATGTGTGTATACATCTGCGCCACTGACATCGGTTCTGAGCCATGTGATCACCTAGAGTCTCCAGCCACCGGTTCCTCCTGTCCCATGCACCCCAACCACCTAGTCTGCATCGCCCCCATGTTTTTGACCAGGCTAAAACATGGCACCAACCAACGCATACTATAATAGAGGTCTGATGGAAAAGCCGTACTTCTGGCTGGATGAAGTGTGACAGCAGTAGAGTGTTTCGTACAAAAAACTAGCAATACTGCCTTCCTTTTGGAAACATGAGGTGAGGAAACTTCGGTCACCAAAATAGCACACTCTTTGCCATGCGGTATTCCACTATCGACAGTATGAGTTTCTCTTGTCCAGCGTTAGCACAATCAAATCTCAGTCCAGCAATCTTGAAAAGGCCGTGTGTATAACATGCCTCAAGCAAATGTCTCTTGGGCTCTACGGTCGTGCAAAACTAACCCCTTTTCTCTTTTTATTGGCTCACAGAAACAACTTCCACGGTAAGGGCAGCCGAGGAGCACCAACCACCCGTACGCTCCCAGCGAAATGCGTAACCTAATTCACCATAACTCACCCGTTTACCTTTGTTCCCTCCCTTGCTTTCACTTCCCTGATATCAGTATTAGGGCTCCTAAAACTTCACCCTTTTATCCCATCACCATTGCTACTGATCCAAATCGGCGAAACACCATTTGTAGTCTCTCAAAAACCCCGCCATCGGTTTCACATTAGAGCTTTTATCATCCGAATCTTATACCGAATCGCACAACAAATGTATCTTGCCATAGCTCTGCAGTCTCGAGCCCAGGATGTGTGTTATGTTTCTAAAAAACACTCACACAGGATCCAAGTGTGGTTTTTCACTTGACCTCACCTAACCATTGTGCTAAAATCACTTTACGAATGTCCGCAGGTTCAATGACTAGCTCTGATGCACTTGATGGTGTTGGTATAGCATTACGTTCTCAAGCAGAAGGCGCACTTCTTTACTGGATACCAGTGGACAGCTATTTGTATGCCATCCGGTTAAATGGATCTATAAGAACTAGGAAGCATCATGACACCTGCCAATATCTGTTCGTAATCTCTGCCTATTCCACCATTGACTGCAGTTAGGATCATAAAAAGGACGAATCCTATCGAAAGCTGTCAGTTTTGCTACACGAAGTAAAATGTGCAGATACAATCGTAATAGCAGGTGACTTCAAAGCTCAAGTAGGGAAGCTGACGCAATCGGAAAGGCATATTTAGTGTCCCATGCCAGCGAACTGAAGACAGTGATCGTCTCTTGCAATTTTTGTTCGACAATCACTTTTTTCTGCAAGAACTAACTTCAAACATTAGGAAAAGCCCTTCCTTTCACTTGGTGTCCTCCTGCATGAAATCAACTGTGGACACACACAAATGATATTCATATGAGCTATCGTTAGAGGGTCGCCATTTTTTAGAGTAGTTGCTTGGTCTCCGGCCATGCGCTAGTTACGAAGTGTCTACTTGCGACGCAAAAGACAGAGCAGAAGAGTGAGGCGTGTGTGTATTTGAGTTGAAGGTGTGAACGTCAAGCATGTATCTGGAGCGGTATCGGAGCGTTTATCTGAAAATGACAGGAATTGTTCACCTTATGAAGCCTGGCATAATGTTCGGTCTACTGTAGAAACAGTGGTAAAGACAGTTGGTAACTTATGCGAGTGGTTTATTGCAGCCTCCGAACGTGCGAACTGATTGATGCAATAAAACTGATTTGGGTTGGGTGTGACCACGTGAAGACGTGTTAGCAAGTCGAGCGTAAATTGACCAGGAGTTCCCACAATGATCACGAGCAGTGTTTTTCAGGGAAAAAAGCAGAGATGGCATCAGCATTAGATAATACTTGGTAGTAATTTTGGTTTATTGCAGAAGGTGATAAGATTGTGACTAGAATATTTGGTTGAACACTTTGAAGAATGGTTGAACCGGTCTACAGCCGCGCTTCAGTTTCCAATCTTCCGAAACGATGCAAAGCAGCAGGACAAGAAGTTTTCACGGATGGAGTTAAAATATTACTGAGTATAGTAACGGAGGTGCTAGGTGGTGTATAAGAATCAGAGGTAACCAAGGCTGTTCACTGGAACTAATGTAGCTGTGTCCGAGCTAACAGAGAGTTTTTGCCTAAAATGACGACGACCAGTGGTATCCACCAGCGGTGCCCACTGCTACCTTTCCTGTTTGACTTTCTTCATAGATATGTCATTGGATATATCTTTAGGTGGCTCCAAGTTTACAGGAATTGACCTACTTCTATAAAGACACCTGGTTGACTTTCAGCACACAGACATCAGTGTCTTGCTAGATGAAGCCGTGTAAGGAAATGTAGACTTCCTGGTTGTGGTCTGCATGGCGACAGATGTAAGTGGTGACATGGTCTAGTATCGATCTCTGCGGTGTAGATATATTGACGCACCATCTTCATCTTAATCGTCACATTGAATCCCATGTTTTCTCTTTCCTCCTTCCTCTCTCTTCACAACCTTCTGCGAACTTGGCTGTTTTCTTTTTCTCTATATTTCATCTTAGTGGTTTTTCCCTTGATGTGCTGATACGACATGTGGCAACTTGGACCACTACGCAGTAATTCCAGGCTGTGTTGATTTTGTCTGAATGTTTGTTATGCGAAGTTGTTGTCAGTATGCTGGGGGTTGTGAATGCCTGAACATGTTATCTACATGGTGCAACAGGCGTTTGACAATCGTTTCCCTTGATGTAGAAATATAATCTATTGGAAACTTCATTGGTTTGTTATCTGAAGCCTTTAAAATAATGTTACTGTTTACGTTTGAAGTACGTACTGGCCAAGAACAGGAGACTGTTGAGATCTTGACCGATAGCTACTACCTTGAAGTGGTGGTCGGGTCTGTATACCAGAATGACCCAACAAGCTATGATGTTGGAATACTTGTCCTACCATACCACAAAGGTCTGTTTGATAGCGGTAAGACAAACAGCAGTTACCATTATACCATATTTCCTGACCGGAAGGCAGCATTTGACTTTGTTAACTGTGAGGTATTGTGGCAGTGTCTCATTGTGATGAAAGGAAGTACCAAGCAATTATATGGTGCTTATCAAGGCTATCTACTAAAACTGACAGCCATGCCACGGCTTACGGAGAGTTGTCATCAGAATTTACGACAAATAGTGGTGTCGGCTAGGGATGCCCACTGTCATCGTCCCCATTTAACCTCGGTTGTAGACGTACTAATGCATATAACCTCAGGCACCACTACCTTCACAGGGACTGATCTACTCTCTGGAGGTCATCTGGTTCACTTGGAGTATGCACACCATACTGTTCTGCTGGGTGAAGACGCTGACGAAATGCAGAGCCTCCTGAACGCATTGGACTGAAACCCGATTATGTTTAGCATGTGTTTCGCTGGCCCCTGTCAAATGTAAGATGATGCTTCTGGACCGGTCTGCAGAAAGTATTCCTAGTTTAATGATAGGCAGGTGAAGTGGTGGAGTGTGTCGACCACTTCACTTACTTGGGGAAGTGTATCAGCACGAACGGGCTGATCGCCGACAAAATATCAGCTTGGATACGGAAGGCTCGTTTGGTACGATCCAACGTGTCATCTATGATGTCGTCGAGATAACAGACTGTCTATGGAGGGGCGCGTATACTGCTGTGCAGTCCGTTCTGTCCTGTCATGAGCGTGCGAGTCATGATGATTGAATTTAGAAAACGTGGAGTGTTTTCAGGATTTTGATCGTGGGTGTTGTTGTAGCATCGCTCGCATTTGGTGGAATCACCGTGTGAGCACACTGCTAAAGTCAGGCGAAGGGTACTAGGCAAGGTAGATAAGCCGAGTGGTGAGGTTGTGAGCCTCCATGGAATGAGATGACTTGGATGTGTACCGTGTCACCGCCTACCTGGACGTGCCATGCTAGGAGGTGTTGGATTAGGTTGGGAGAGAGTTCAGGTTGGCGAGACTACTACGTGGCACATGTTGGTTTGAGCTGTGTGGGGAAGATGTAGACTGCTTGGTTGGAGTCCTCGAGACGAGGGAATCAGTGGATGAGGATTCTTGACGATATGGCTGGAAATCGGTCGCAGATGTATTCACTCCTGGACATCTTGTAAAGCTTGAATATTTGCACTAATCTTTATCTTCAGATTGTTTACTTTCTCTCACAATTCTGTCTGCTTTGATATCATTCCTTTTCTATCCACCTATTCTTTGTGTACTACTGTGAAGTGTGGTAACTTATAGTGATGCACGTGTATGTGAGGTTCTACGTTGATTTTGCATGTCACTCGAAGGTAAATTAGTTATACAAAGCCACGGAGTTCAAAGGAATGTTTGCTTCTTACCTGGTACAATATTTTGGGCAATGTTGATATTTGTAGATTTATCTTTTTGCCTTAAAAACCTTGCTATATGTAATAGAGATCTGTAGATCAGTAGAAAATGCATACTTTTGAGATCGAACTTTTCAGCCTACCTGTTGCAAAATGAGGAGGCAGCAGAGTTTTAATGCTGTTTTTAGTAAGACATCATTTCCAAAGTTAAGACTTGGTAATACTATTAGTGATCATATCTCTCATCATATTCAAATGAAAGGCAGAAAGATGTTTGCAAAGTAGGAGAAGCCTATTATCAAAAGTCATAGATTCATGAAAGAAGCGCACAACGCAATTAAAAAGTCGTGATATGGTGATTAGGATGAAGACAGTGTGTGGATAGGTGTGCCAGTGTGAGGGATTCCGGGCCATATCTATCACCTAGTGTTCCAAACAAATGAACTGGTTATCACACCAACGGCATCCGAGAAGCTTACATATACCTGCGTGACTCGAACCATTAGTTATCATATTCAAGGTTTATTGCCGCGTTTTAGTGTGCTTTCTTGCTTCGATGTTTCTTGTAGTATAAACTTGCTTCAGCTGGATATATCCATGTTACCTGGATAGGTGAAGGTCTACAACGTCATCATGTGACTTACTTCTTTTGCCTAAGATTATGTAACTGTCGTGGTGGTTCCATGGTGCATGGCCCATGCTATAAAGGCAAGTATGTTGAATGCTTGAAGCCTTCTCGCGTCTTCTACACCTATTAAAGTCAGGTTCTATATGACGGAGAAAACTGCTGTTCAGTACACTCAACCATTAATAGGTAATCAGATATCTCTCCAATGCCGTAGATGGCATAAGTTGGTGAAGGCTAGTGGGACCTTTCGTATGCGTGTCAAAATTTCGTTTCAGACTGATTCATCTGATCTGTCTTGACAAGCAAGTCAAGTAGGTGATGGTGTTGACCACTTCACTCCCTATTGTGAGATGAAAGATATCGAGACAGGGCAGTTCTGAAGTCATGGTTTGCAGTGGTATGGTTTGAAATGCATCCTATTTACTCTTATGTTGTTGGATATATTGTGCGTCTTGTCAGTGTATTCAGTTAATGTTGTTTATATTTAACACGGAGTTTTTGGTGACGAGGTCAATACTTGTAAATTCGGATAAATAGAGGGATACCTGTGTAAGTGCGTCATAAAAAGTTAGATAAAAGTGAATGGTAGGCGTTTTTGATGGAGAGGACTAGATGTGGACAAATCAGCGTAGGTGAATTCGCTCAACCGCTTCATTGCCTATTACCAACGGATGCGATGTTTTCATTTCACAATGACATTCTCATGAATCAAACAGTATTTAATCATTTGGTAGTCATTATTCGTAAGTTGGGTTTATTCCTAAGACCACAGAACAGCTGAGTACCTTGACAACACTAATAGGAGCGTATTTTTGCATTTACCCTTAGTGATACACTACTGTAAGCAACCGAGAATCTCGTTCGGCCGATTTTTTAATAGTTTATATAAAGGTTTGTTGGATGAGATTTTCGATTGTATTTTGGAAATCAGAAGGACTCATGTATAACTGTAGGGTGTGAGTAATTCTAAGTTGGCCACATAAAGCTGGACATATCTGCGTGATTTTCGAATCTCACCATTTTCTCATTCTTCCTTTCTGTTTTAGTACTTTATGTTCTTTTTGACCGAGTTTTCTTTATCTTGCACTTCACTGCCTTTTTACTTGATATACTGATATGAGCTATGGCAACTCGGACCGTTACGCAGTAATGCATGGTCCTATGTTGATTTAGATGGATGGTAAAGGTTTTTCAAGATCTGAAAAAGTTTGTTTTAGCATTTAGTAAGTACAGTTGTATGGAGAAATTACTCCAGTGGTATGAACCCATATCTAGCATGTCTCAACGGCTTTCGCGCCTTTCACTTTATGGTAGGTGTTAAGCTGATTAAAAGGTGCAGATAGCTTGTGGGCAGTTGGGTTGATTAACATGTATTGGCCTTTTGTGACTTCCTAAATGGAATGAAAATCGTGTTAAATCTCAGTTGGTCGTGATATCACTTCGAATCAAAGCCTGTAGCTGTCATGCTACTACTCTATCAGCCGAAATGAATTCTAATCTGTATACCTATGGCACTCAACGACTGCGTAATTATTGTTTGTGTACTCAATGCATGAAGATCACGTGACATTGCAAATTTACCATTGGCATTTTAGGTCTCAGCGGCACACACAGCTTATAAAATTCAGGTGGACCATACATGATAAGCTCGTATGATTCTCTTTCCTTTAGATCATTATAGGTTAAACAGTCAATTAACTCTTCTTCTTCTTCTGATCACCCTGCTGTCAACTGCTGTTATTGTATCGTTTTAAGACCTCTTAACCTGGGATCTCAGTGTATCATTGACATCGCATCAAATTAGTCATCTCAGTTTATGTTAACAACACTGGAGCCTTTATCTGATTTCTTTTCTGTAAGTGTTTCACTACTAATATATTGGTCTTTAGTAATGAGCTTGGAGTGTGGAGTACTGTTTAACAATATCAACCAATTTGGTTTTGGACCAATTTTTGTCCTCATTTAGAGATTCAAAATTAGAAAGTTGATGATATATTTACTTAAACTGTGTTTCTTTATCAATTTTTTTAACGAACACCTACTGGATGTTGCTTTTATTTTGACCTTGTTCAACTTCATATTTGAAAGATTGCACATACATTTCTCCGGAGATCCTGGGAAGATATGTGGTTCCTCTGTTACCGATGAATTTCTTAGTGTACTATCATAAGATTTAGACATCTTCATGGAGTGGCCATGGTCTCATCATTACGTCCTATCTTCACCGATGTCTTCATAACTTACCTAGAACAAACGTGACTGAAATTAGAGATTGAGAGGACTACATATTACAGCAGGTATGTTGATAACGCGTTCGTTGTTTGAAAAATTCTACCTAGCTCATGCTGACATCATGTTTACCATGGAATACAAGCATGATAAACGTTTTAACTTTCTAGACCTCTGTATGAAACGAAAAGGCGATAACACAATTGAATAAACTATCTGCAGAAAAGAAACACAAATGTCTCAGTACTTAAACTATCATGGCTTTTGTCCTACCATTTACAACCAGAAGCTAGTCAAAACACTTCTGAGTAGAGCGAGAGCGTTAGTTTCAGAAGACAATCATGAGAGCGAATTTACGATAATTCAAAACAATACGTGACATGGATACCTGACAAAGTTTGCCATATAAAACGGAGAAATGGAGTGAACGAAATCTGGACCTGGAACTGTTTAAAAGAAACTGGTTTTCATTCAGCTTGGATTCAGAAGTGCCATCGCGAATAGAGAAATGGATAAAAGAAGCATTAAAGTGGACCCCCTCTACACCTACCCTGATCTCGATTTACATCACGAGCCGGACATTGAACCAATCCAAACTATATAGGTACTCTCTTCATTTCATCTTCAACTTCATTTACAGTTTTACTTCCATATCGCCATAGGACTAAGTATTTGTGCAAAACGGTCCGATTTGCAACACCTTACATTACAACATCAAGCAACAAAGTAGCGAGATGAAAGATGAGGAAAGAAAGGAAAATCCAACAAAAGCAGGGGAAGAGAAGAAGGAGGAATGAGAACACGCTGAATTCAGCATAACGGTTAAGATAAAGATAATGTGTTGACGTATCTGCTCCACTGACACCGATTCCGAACCATATTAAGCAGAATCTCCAACCATTGATTTGTGTTGTCACGTGTACCCCGACCGGCTAGTCTGCATATCCACACATGGCTCAGACCGAAAGTCGAGAACTCCATGCAGTGATGCCATGTTTTAGTGTGGCCACTCTGAGCCTTTTTCCAGCCTGGACCTGCTTCAGCTAACATTGTTGGTGAGGTAGGTAGATGGTGACTAGATATGCGTTACACGTGTCTATACGCAGTCTCAGTCGACGGAGATTCACAACCGTATCAACTGGCTTTCCTCTCCTCTGTAAAACTCTACACCTGACTTGTGCGTTACTGATGTGATGACATCACGATACACAATGTGCTACGAAGGCGACGATGGTGAAACACCTGAAGCCTTCTCGTGTCGTCTACCCCAAATGGCCATGTTTCACGTCCATACGGTAGACCAGAGCGAACTGCAGAGCAGTACACTCGACCCTTAATAGGCAACCAGATATCGCAGTGGGACAGCATATTATAGCGTAAGTTGGCGAATGCCAATCGAGCCTTTGTATCCGTGTAGAGATTTCGTCGACCACTGATCATTCACCAAGGCTGACCCGTCTTTCCAGGTAAGTGAAGTAAGTGGTCAATGCACTCAATCACCTCGCTCTTTATTGTTAGCCGAGGCACCTCTGAAGACCAATCCTGGAGCAACGATTTGCATTTGAGTGGCGAGAAACGCATCTCAAACATTTTCAAATTGCCACTTAATGTATGTGGAAGACTTTACATCTTGTCAGCGTCTTCACGTAACAGGACCATTTGATCTGCGTACTCCAGATCTACCAGGAGATCAATCCCTGTAAAGTGAGGTAACGAGAGGGAGACTTCTACAACAACATCTATGGCAAAAGCGAACAGGAATGGAGAGAGTAGGCATCGTTGACGAACACTACTTGATGGACATAGCTCACCTGACAACTCACCATAGGCTCTAACAACTCCACGGGCTTTCGAGTATAGAGTCTTTAACAGAGTGGTGTACCTACTCGGCACTCCTTTCAGTGAGAAACTACTGCAAAACCCCTCAATCGAGTGAGTTCATTGTCTATATAATCTAGAATCCTAGACACTATTTCCGTCAGACTGATTCTTTTGTAGTTATCACAAGAGGACTTCTCACTCTTTTTGAAGTCTAGGATAATCCGTGACCGGGATGAGTCAGTGGGGGAGTATATCTGGCTACCACACACTGGTTAACACTTCAATCAGTTTGACCAATAAACCTCGATCACCGTATTTAAATAGCTCTGGAACTAGTCCGTCTGGCCCTGCTGCTCTTCATCGTTTCAGGTTACCTACAGCTTTGTCGACTTCTGCAATTGTTGGGAGTCCTACCTCAATGCCCCTCTGAAGATGCGGAGTGGTAGAGATGGCAACGGAATTGTAGCTGGAGGCCAGTCGAACTATTTCTCCGAAATGTTCCGCATATCTTTCCAGTCGTCTCACGTGTGAGTAAATCACAGACCCATCCTTCTCCGACCACTGAACTTTCCACTCCAGTTTCTTCAATAAGTCTAAATAACTATTGTTGCGTATCGCCACTGCTTTTTCATCTCTTTAGCCTTCACTACCCGCCACTGTTAGTGGTCATTGCATAGACTTTCTGTCAGTCTACGTCTGAGTTGCATTCGCTCCTCATTCTACTCGGAGCCCGCACGAATCCATTTATGTGCATGCATTAACTCAGAAGAAGCTGCTGAAATCTACTGGCTCTTTTAACCATTGTCTGATAGTCGGCTTACAGTCTTTGACGCTGTTTTACAACAGACTGGAAGTGGCACCAAGCTTCTTCTGGATGAATGATATTGTTCTGTCTCAATAACTGTCTAGCCAGTTCTTCCCTGTAAGCAGCCCCAATGCTCTCGTTGTCGAGCTGCAGTTGCGATGGTCTTGTTTTCTAAAGTTTGCCCAGGTCCATTTAGATGTGCATATACATGCGCTCGAACCAACGCGTGATCGTTTTCTAAACACGTGCTCCAGCAGGAATAGCAGTCCTCCGCCGGGCGTCCCCAGCCATGACTGATGGCAATATGGTTTGTCTGTTGCCACCGCTGAGATGAATACCGCGGACGCCACGTTAGACAATATCTCTCTTTACGTTTGAAGTTCGTGTTGACTGAAAATAGCTGATTTTCTGAGCACAGTTGTAATAGGCGATTGCCCTTATCCATTCATTACGCTGAGGTTCTGAAATTCCCATCCGTCTTTCCGTCTGAATATGTCTAACCAATGTGTAGTTTGGAGCAGTGTTTCATAGAGACTAAGGGTACCGTTGTGTGAGCACTCATATCGTTATCGAGAGCTGGAGGGAATTAAAGACCGTTTATTAAATCAATTCGAAGTTGATAAGTGCGTTGTTCCTTTCGCCTTCAACAGCACTTACATATCTACACGCACTTGCTGGTGGAAGTACATAGAACTGTTGGGACGAGAGCTAGTTGGTTTCAACTTCATGTCCCTAAATACGTTCGTGTCAAAGGAAAGGAAGTGTGTACAAAGGCGGTAACCAGATACGTAGTGTTCACAGAATATAGAGTTGAGGCTGATTACATTTTCAAGGTCATCAGCATATAAAGAGCAACTAGTTTACTTAGTGTTAGAGAGGCTATTGCAATTAAACGATGAAGGCCTGGTCTATGTGTGTGAAAAGACAGTGTGAATAACCTCTCCTTACCTTGACGATCATGCTTTGTTGCGTAATCGCCATTTTATTTTATTTGTAGTTTTCGTCACCTTCCTTCACTGATTTAAGTCGATTCTTAGTTTTCCTGTGTTTTTGTTTGTTGCCTACCTCCTTCGTGACTGCAGCACCTTTTTTTGTAATATGTGTGTATAATCACTGATTTTGATTACTTTACAATTGTCTTGTCTTTGTATTTTCTCTATCTGTTGGTGTACTATGAATTTTGAACTTGGCCTTCATCTGAAACAGTGTAAAGTATATTACATATTAATTTACTGGTTATGACAAATTTTGTGATATTAAACTGCTTGGCGCTGATGAGATGCCGTGAAATGAAATGTGCGTATTTTATTCTGGAAACGCTTTTGTTCCTGTTTTGTTCAGTTTTTGTAATTATTGAATTGTTATTGCAGACTTGACTTGTAAATTCTCCAGTTTCAAGAGATTCATTGAAGATCGTTTTGTATAGCTTAAATGAACAAGGATTTCACGAGATGATTTCCGTGTGTTCGATATTAAATTTTGTTAACGATTCACATCATTATCTTGAACTGACTGGTTGGTAATTTATCAGGATAACTATTGATTGCTCTTCGTTTTGTTATGCATTTGTAAATAGGGTTATCCGGGTTTTTGTCTGTATCATAGTTTTGCAGGATACTAAGATATAGCTATTTTAGCGCGTACGTCCTCATTATTCTTATTGTAATCACCTCACAAGTTCACAAATTCCATTCGTTTTTCATGCATTCCTTAGGACTTTTGTCGTGGTAGCCATGTGGCAGCAGTCACTTTGTTCGTTGGCTTTATTTTGATTATTTGTATCTTCAATCTTTAGGATTTCAACTTTGGACTTGTGAAACAAGTAGTCCAATGCCATGTGAAGTTCCGTATTCAAAACTTAACAAAAGTAGGTTATTCAATTTGTTTATAAAGTTAATTGCACAGTTTTATAGACTGAGTAAGTATTAAATGGAATAAGTGAGTTTGTCATAAATCCTATACCTCACTTAAAAACGACTTGCGCATTGATTGCATGACATTCAAGCATTCATTCAAAATACCTCCCATTTTTATTTTTCCTTATAATCTAAATCAGTAGGCTGGTATAGCAGTGCAATCAGAAATGCAACGCACAAAAAAATCTAACCGTATTAGGATAAGGTAACAGTGATGTATATGAGCGAAAAAACTCGAAGCAAAATGGCGAATAGATTATTGAAAAACCATTTACAAAAAATACTTCAGTACTTACGTTTCGCACGACGTGGACGAAGTAGCAACGCAACAGTAGAGTTGAACCTAGTTTAGGTTTCGCCTCATATCTTCCAAAAACTTTATAACGCTGAATTTCAGTTTTCTTGAGTTCCACCCAGTTTGCTGCTGATTGTAATATGTTCTAATCTGCACTACACAGTCCTGCGATTAACTAGTCGCCGTCAACCACTCTAACGACTCTCCTTCGAGCCGATACGCCTAACCTATGCATTTCAGTCGCCAGCTAGCTCCATAGCATCTTTTAAATGCATTCGGTTAAGGTCACTTCAGAAATAACAAGTGGATTCGGGCTTCACTTTGTCGGGATGTGCAAAGAATGGACGTGGTCTACCTTTCCAGTTACTTGTCACTTTATTTGAACCTAAGTCAACAGAATGCAGACAACTGTTATCAGAGATTCGGTTGACTAATTGAGCTCTTATTCCAACACAGTGCAACACCGACACCATCAAGTTCGAATACCGATGTCATATGGTCTCATGTTAAGCATTCGAGACGACATATGTAAACGTTATTCAGCTTACTCCATTGTGATGTTGTATGTGGGTCTCAGAGACACACACCATAAATCAAAGACAAAGCTTCAGCAAGTCGTTGGCAGACCCGTCTTTCTTTCGATCTGCATTAAGATCAGAAAGTTCCAGGGTGAAAGGATACATACGTTTTCAGGATGGCTACGCCAGATGTTGCATTGGAGTCCAGCTTTATAGAGATGTAATGGTTTAATTCCTCAAAACATTACGAATAGGTCAGAACTTCAGTTCACTACGAGTAGTAGGTGAATGAAAGAAAATTCGAAAATAATCAATGGAAACCATTCAGTTCCTATGTGGAAAGTACAGCGATGAAGTTACAATAAATTGACTAGTCGGGTATCAAGTTTGTAATATAATGAGCTTAGCTGACTACAAGGAGATTGAATAAGCACTTAGAAGTTTGAATCGCAACTGTGGTTCCATGGTTTGTGTGAGTGCTGGAATACTGCTTTAACGTCGATCCTGAAGCAGTTGATCGTCCTGGAAGATCACTCCTCGACTTTTTTAATTGAAGCTTAGTTGGTAGTAAAGCGACGCATATATAGAGGTGACGTTTGTGTGTTATTAGGTTGGATTCACGGATCAATTGATTCTTCTAGGGCGTTTATTCACTAGTGTTTGGAAATGCAGTTATCCTGTGTTGTGAATGACTTTTTGATACTCACGAATCAAATGATAAGCATCGGGCAATCATTTCCATCACTCACTTTTCGTGAAATAAGCCTGCAATTTCAAAGCAGTGGATGCGACTTTACACGCTTCGGCTATTATTGCATAGTGTTATCGTTATTAGCGGTAAAATGGGCTGTATGTAGCACCAGTCATGTTACGGCATCTCAAAGGAGACCTAAGGATTAGGTATTTATCATCCTTGTGTCGTCTACTCTCCAGGATCACTTACCCCAACTGTTTTATAGAGGAGAGCACATTGACGTCTTGATTTTTCTCAGCTTCTATCTACTTCTGGATTCTTTATTAGTGCAGGTCGACTACCATCCATCAGTTTTTCTACATGCGTTTCATAATTTAACCTATCAGCATCCTTTTAATTGATGGAGGATGGTCATTCGTTGAATAATCGTTGGCACAGTTCCCGTTCATTTTTAAAAACAACTTTTTTTTACCTCGTTAAGATCTGGTGGACTGACATCTACGTCTCCTCTAAATTAAGGTCGAACGGCGTGCGACTGGGTCGGAGCTGTTCCGCAGTGCGTTCACCCAAATTTCCAGTCATCTGCTCTGAGAAGTTATCAGGTATGCATCCTTATCAGCG